TATCATCAAGCTGTACAATCGTATATTTTTTTCATTTTAGTCTATTCAATTTGTATACTCTTCCTTATTAAGTCAATTTTTACTATTACTACTCTCACTTTTAATTGTCCCCGGTATTATTTCACTTGTTCCACTTGTCATTCTAAATCAATTCCTTTATGCAACATTAAATTCTATGCTATTAAATTTCACACAATATTACGTAACGTTTTTATTTTTTCGATTTGTCTACTAATCTTATAATTGCACACCTTTTCAAGTTCTATCCATCCTATGAATTATTCTATATATGACATTAATTTGCTTTGCCACTTGACATTTAACTACGATTATAATCACAAACATTTTAGTTTTAATTGCACTTCATATTATTATTATTATTTCATGCATTCACACCTATGTTTCAATTTCCTCACCGGATATAACTTCTTAAAAACCATATATATACGATTGTACAGCTTGATGATAAATTCGTTGAAAAGAGTCTCTTCGCTGAATCATTTGTTTTGATTTTCTATATGTTACAATGGGAATTTTCCATGATATATATATATATATATATATATATATATATAACAACTCTTTTTAATGTTATTCGATAAAATTAGAGGCAATATTGTACCAAATGCTGAGAAGTCCACACTGTAACATTAGTACTGTTTTAGAATAAAGCAAATTATTATTATTAATGTGGCAACTACTTCGTTACTACGGGGTGCCACCAACAATTATACATCTCATCCAACAGCTGCAGGCCAAGTAATCCACAACGGGAAACTTGCGGAACCCTTCGAAGTGAGGACAGGAGTAAGACAAGGCTGCCTACTATCGCCAGTGGTTCTCCTGATTGCAGTAGACTGGATAGTGCGACAGACAGCGGCCCGGCCTCGAGGAGACAGGCATAAAATGGACTCACACAAAAAACTTGGAGGATCTGGACTTCGCCGATGATATATGTCTGATTTCCCACAAACTGGAAGATATGCAAGTGAAAAGCAACAAGTTGGTGATGGAAGAAGCATCAAAGATAGGACTTCAGGTGAACATAGAGAAAACAGAGGTGATGAAGATTCCTGGACAACACCACCAACAACAACAGACAACGATCAGCATAAATGGAAGGAACCTGAAAGAAGCAACCTCTTTCACCTACCAGGGAAGCATCGTCTCAACTACAGGCAGACGGAACTGACGAGGATATCAAAGCAAGAATCGGAAAAGCAAGACAAGCTTTCACTACTCTCAAGTCTGTGTGGAGGTCAACAGCACTCAGCATCAAAAATAAGATCCTGATTTTCAACTCCAATGTGAAGTCAGTGCTACTATACGGATCAGAGACTTGCACTGTGCGTCATAAAGAGCATCTCAAACAAACTACAGACCTTCATTAACAGAAAAGATCAGCAACAGGGATCTCTGGCAATGAGCGAACCAACCAGGAACCGATTGTGCAACAAATAAGCAGGAAGAAATGGAGGTAAATTGGTCATACTCTGAGGAAACCATCAAGTGACATCACTAGACAAGCCATTTCTCGAGTGAAAGGGAAGCGGCGAGTTGGTCGTCAGTGCAAGGGTGACTTGGAGGAGGTCATGTGAAGAGGAGGTGAAAACGTGTGGGCAGACTTGGAGCCAGGTGAAAAGTCTAGCAGAGAACCGAAGGCAATGGATACGCACGGCTGAAGCCCTATGTTCCTCTAGGAATTAAAGGAAACAATAGTAATCATAATAATAATAATATTGTGAGAAGCTAGATATCACTGGACGAAATTTCCCCTCGTTCCCAGCCGAGCTTATAATCAGCTGTGTACTTCAATAAGCTTATCTCAGAAACAGGTGGACCAGTTCAAACTACAGGAATTCTGACTAGGTGTACTTGGGCGAACTGATGATTCATAGAAATTAAAATCTCATTTGTAAATTGCACATAGTTTGGGGTGAAAATTCACTAATAGCCTCAGGAAATATTCATATCACAATTTGTAGCCTTGAGCGGTATCGCTGTATACACCGCTGAGCTATGAATGTTATGTTCGTTGAATCTTGACACGAATAAGGTTAGGAGGAACAATAATGAAAACTTGACAATTTCCTAGCAGATATTTCCTAACTCAAGTTGGTAATTTCAAATTCACTCATATGCAATAATATCGGAGACGTGGATTTCCAAACCAAAGAGTCAGCGGCAGTGAAATTACAAGTATATATATATATATTGACGATAGTTTTGCAGGAGAATATCACGAAGCAAGAATATGCGGCCTCCACTGGGCCGAACAGTTAGCGCTCGTCAACGTAGTGAAATTTGATTGGCCGTCACCTGACTACTGTGTAGGCGTTTATCAATGCGCTGAAATCTGATTGGTTAGTTATCCGATTAACGTACAAAAAGTCAATACTTGTATAATTTAAATTCTGACTAACAGAAAATCGAGATACACTGTAGTTACACCTAATAAGGACCAAGAAAGGAGAAACAACTATCCATTGTTTCGATCAACTTGTAGTGATCAACATATATTTTCTTCGGAGAAGGCAATAAAAACAAAAGTTGATCAATCATTAGTATTATTTCTTCTTTATTCACAAAACAGATTTTGAAGAGGCAAAAAGCACATTTGTTTTCATGTATATTTGCACAAACAAAACCGATTTTAGAGAAACAAAAAAGATTGGAATTAACCAAGTACAGAAAAACAAAGGTAAAAACCCGGAAAAAAATATATATATGACTAGTCATCAGTCAGTAGTCCAATTTAGCGAATGAAATCCATAAGCGTTTTATTTATTCGCCTCGCGTATAGAGAGGCATTTGCAAACCTAAATACACACGCACTCACACAAACTTAACATATGAGTGGTGATGGTGGCGGTGGTGTTGAGTGGACGACTTATCACCAAAGTTTTTTTGAAAAAAAAAACAAGATAAAATCAATACATACATATTACACAAAGAACAAAAAGATAAAAGAAGCCAAAAATTAATTCACAGGCAACATGATTCATAGGTGGGCAGCCCACGGGGGTTAGTAGTGGTGGGGACAATAATCTGCTGACTTCTAGGAGCTTCAATAATTGATAATTAACAGAAGAGGGAACACAATCAATTATTAATAATAAGACTAGACAGCAAAATGAAACTGGTTGAGTCTCCCTCTTAGGCAAGAAGACACTTGGAAGGAGGCGTGAAAAAAATCCATAAAAAGGAGGAGCTATTCGAGTTATATACGTTTCTGTGTGTGTGCCGAACAGTCGACAATGTTGTCTAACAATACTGGAACAAAAGAGTCCAGGAATTAAAAAAATCCACCATTGGACGTATTTCTACATTTTCCTCAGGCACAAACGTACAAGAAAGACAAATTCACATATACACAAATATATATATATATATATATATATATATATATATATATATATTAGAAAGAAGTACTTTTTGTGTGTATTCCATCACCATCATCACAAATGTCGCTAGGTCTTTTCTGTCTATCTCTATGTGCGTTCGTGCATGCATGCGTGTGTGTGAGTGTAGATGTTCAGGGAAGAAAGATGAAACTCGGTTTGTTTGTTTGGTGTTGTGTTTTTTTTACACAAAAATAATTCCCCCTTCTGAAGAATGTGATTGACATTCACTTACTTGAGAAAATATTATTGTGTACTTTTTAAATCAATATATATAAAATCAGTTGTACACGATAAACTATGTGTATGTACATATTACTTAATTGTAGCAATATAAGTAGTACAGTACAGTATAAAGTCATTTGACAAAAAGAAAGTTATCTATATATGTATATATATATCGATTAGAGGCTTTACTGTCCTTCACATGTCACTCTCTTACTACACCTCAGTGTAGAAAGGTACTCATACACACAAAATCAACGCACACACACAAAAGTTTAGCCAAAGAACACAGAAAAATCAAAGAAATCGATCCAATTTACACACTTTTAACGACAAAGGTGAAGAAAGGGAATGGGAGGGGGAGGATGGCGATTGGGTTCTTCAGGGTGGGGGTGGCTAATAAAAGATTGTGTAATTTAACTGAATGAAAAACACTTGCAACACCCACATATATTTTATACAAAAACGAGACAACACAGATGGGAATTAGTAATATCATTTGAAAGAATAATTCTTGTGCCATGGTTCAGTTCAGTTCAGTTCATGAATGAATGAATGATTCATGGTTTTCGTTGTATGCTGTAATGAGACACATTTGATTGGCATAATTGGCATGTGACGCTGTATACTGGAGATAGTGGGGAACAGAGATAGCGGGCGGGCGCAGGGGGGTGGAGAGAAGGAGAAAGGGACAGAGAGTGGATTATGTACATAAGGAGGAGTAGCACGCAGACACAAATGCACACACACATACACACACAGAAAGAGACGCACAAATCACCACCTGCTGAAGAGATTCGTAGCATCCTAAATCACAAAAAATAGCAGTAGTAGTGGTGGGGGTGGGACAAGTGAAAATGCATTACACAAAGAGAAATATAATTTGCCACCAACGCACACACACACATAAACAGACACATACGCACATCATAAAACGGAAAGCAAAGATAGACAGGGATCAAATCAATCAATAAGATAAATGAAGATTAACTAATGCATAACGTGTAGATTTTCTTCAAAAATTGGTGAAATATTGAAGCCCACCAAGTGGGACATTGGGAGTCCAGCTTTTCACTCCCTTTCGCGCAAAGAGAAGAAGGGAACATTGTCAAGCGAAAATAATTATTAGAAAAAAAAGAAAACTTGTGCGACACTAACAAATAGACAGAGGGAAAGGGAAAGATGGAGATGGCAATTATTCACCGCCTCCCCCCTGCTCAACCACCCTCTAAGATAAGTTAAATAATAATAATACTAATAAACAGGTTTATCCAAATATTATAAATAAATAAATAAAATAAAATAAATATAAAAACATAAACATATACATGCAATTTACACTTAAATATTTATATATATATATATATATATATATTAAACAAGTACAAATTCTGAAGTATAGACATTCTCTTCTGGTGCTTGAATTTCATTTGATGTAGAGGCGTTCTCCTGATATCCACCACCACCGACAGGTTCATGGGCACTTATTCCACTGGAACTAGGTATATTGGCTGCAAGATTTTTAACATTACGAACTCCAGCAGTATAGATTTGACCACGCATTGCTGAATTGTACACATCAACTGGATGCCTTTAACCAAAAGATAAGAAAAATAATAACAGTATAAGAGGAGGTTTGACTATTATTATCGTCGTCATATTTACTATTCACTGACGAAATTTCACCACGGATACAAAAGGCTTCTGTAGTATTTGCGCCAACTTACAACACGTCATCTCTGGCTTAGTAGACGTGACATTCAGCTGGCTATCGATCAACTAAAGGACGTGCTGCATACTAGTTTGCTCTGTCCTCCTTTTGTAGGTGTGAGAAATGGCCATTGAAAATGGAAGACAGGAAAAGTCTGGCTAGCCAGTTAGCTGTCTTTGATCATAAGTGTCTGTGTTAAATCTCTCACCTTAGGTGGTGGTATGGCTGGGACATTCCTAGCCATCGCCTTCCTAGACAACAGGATATGTTAGCTGATATAGGATCAGAGTGCAACAGAGTTAGAGGCGGTCAAACGAAAACATGGAATCAGTCTTTGAAATCCACAACAGTTAGTTTAAGCCAGCCACGTAGGAACGTGTAAACTGTTTGGTTAGGATTCTCGGGATTTTAAGAACTAGTGGTTGGTCCTCAATGGAGCAGATGAATTCACTCTTGGTGCTCTGGCATATCCAATAAGACGTTATTGTTTTCCAAAGTTAGTATTCTTTCTCCACCAGTACATTTCTTCGTATTATCGTTCTTTTGGATCTATGTTCATCTCTCTTTTGTCGGCCTTTGTGTGCAACATGGAGTGTGGGCCGTTGAACTGCTACACTTCTGTGTAAAGTTCTACGTTGAAACCAGTCAGTCATTATCATTATTATTACTATTGTTAGCAGTAATTCAACAGACGTGACTAGAAGTGTGGAATCCAGAATGAACATTTTGTCCTATTCGGGACTCGTCAGCTAGACAGATATACCTACATGGAGTTTCTATTGGGACTCGAACCCAGCACCTATCATTTCAAACGGCATAAGCGTTATCCACTAGACCACCTGAGCCACCTTTTTGTGCAATGCGCATCAGTTATTATCTGTCGTTTAAGTCTACCGAATTACTTTAAGTTAATCCCCAAACATACATCGTCTACGAGTCTGTAATCGGAGCCGATATCTTAACGAAGGCCAAGAATTTCAGTGCAATCAACCAACGAGGAAATCAAAATTGACTTAAAAACAAATAATAATTAGAATCAGTAAAAGTGAGGAAAATATTTCTACAATATCGTCGTCCAGAATCCAAGCATTCATGTTGCCCACAACACCATCACATGAAATATCTTCAAACGTGAAGTGAAACACGATACTGTGTTTGGTTACTGGATTTCATCATGAACTGACATCGGTTAGAGAACCATTGGAAAACCTGTAGGGAGTACTGGACGGATGTTTCGTCTTAGTTTGTGACTCTTCATCAGTACACACCCACCGCCAGAGTTTGACCCCGGGACCTTCTGGTCACAAGGCGAGCTAGCTCGTAGACCATTAGGCAGGTAGGGTGCAGCAGGTCGAGTGAGAGGACAAATAATCTCCGAAGACATTGGTTGGCGGTCGCACTATGTCGTGAATTGGCAGAAGTTGGAATTCATGGACTGGTTGGCCATTGGATCGGGTCCCAGTGGCTTAATGGTCTACGAGCTCGATAACCTTGTAACCAGAAGGTTTAGGGTTCAAACCTTGGTGGTGAGTGTGTACTGATGAAGAGTTAGTCCCAAACTGGTCTGACAAAAATGGCTGGCTGTCCAGTACTCCCACCTAGTTTTCCAACGGTCCTCTAACCGATGTCAGCTGGTGATGAAATCCTGTAACCAATCAATCAAATCCCTAAAAATCAATACTTGAAAAACAATACTGTGTATGAGAGAGAACAAATACTTCATCAACTGAACACTAACCAGTGAAAGCGAGAAAAAGAGAAGCGTAGAAATACTTACGAGCTAGAAGGTCCGCCTGCTGCTGCTGCTGCTGTCAACAATCCTACAGTTTCATCTCTATTTGGCTCAGATAATTGTCTTGCATGCAGTTGACGGGGGTTTGTACGACCGGAGGTTTGTTTTCTTGCATCTAACAGAACAGGTAGTATAAGGAAAGAAAAGTGTTAACAACAGATATGTACAAAAACAAGTTCCATTGACCACCGCGCTCTGACGTTCGCCTAGTATACTTCAATTACGTTAAAGCCTTGGCCTTAAAAAAAAGCTTAAACCTGTTTTATGTATTCAAGCATTAATTGTTATTACTTTGAAGGTGCCTTGGTAATCCAACTGTGGAACCAAGGCTCATTTTATACTTAATAATGTGTATTAATATCATCCATGGTAGACTGCTCAATAGCCCCTAGGGAGGTCCGAGTTCAACCTTCTGGCCGATTGACTTCTAAACTTCATCTAGTCAACTAACCAATAATAAGTTCAGAAAAGAGGGAAGGTTGGGGGTGTGAAGCTGACAACACCACAACTGCTTGAACTTCAAGACTTGAAGTCCTGTGATCCACTCAGAATACAGGAAATGAATAGAAATTGCATATTATAAAATGTTATTTGAAATAAAAGAGACAGAAGATTTGTAGCTTAGAATAAAGATGGAAATCTTGCTTGATTACTCTCTCCTCACTCCGTCAGATGTACTTTCCCACCCACAGTCATATACCAATCCAACAATTTAATTCAAGTATAAGTATAAATATGGCAGTGTGGTAGTAGAGTATAACTCCATTATAGATAAGATTTTATTTTCATAAATCACACAGTGTTACACAGTAATATTAACTGATGACCGTGTTTCAAGCACAAACTATTACCACTCATAATCATATCGAGTCACTCACACAACTTTTTCCTTCATTTATATACATGTGTGGAATTGACCAGATATTTGAATAAAATCAACATAAGATAAAGTACATTCAGAAATAATAATATGAGTGTTATTAATCAAGTACAGTCAGACGAGAAATAAGACGAGTGTTTTTATAGTCATAATAAGTAACTTGTTAGGATGTTGTGATGTGCTTGAATTGATATAGAATTTTAACATTATTTATTCTCCTCTTCTGATTTGACTGGCGGCAATAATATCTTCCATATTTCTGGTATTTGCATTAAGTCATTCCTATTGCATGTGTTGGGTGTAGATTCAATGAACCAGGATTCAGTAATCAATCTGTCTCTCTACCTACATAGATTACTTCTTAGAATCTTAACTCTCTCCCACCCTATTGTGTGGTTGTGTGTTAATGCATGCAGTGTAATTGCTGAGCTTTTTTCTAAATTACTTATCTTCTCGGGGTCAACCATTCTTACCTTAGATAAATTCTTATGTTCCGACAATCTCACTACTCTTGATTTACTAGTTGGACCTATGTAGTTCACCTAACTCACAGTCATTGCAAGGTATTTTGTAAATTATATTATATTGTCTAATTGGGTCAACAGGGTCCTTTAACCTACAGAGCTTGTCCTATCTGAGTGAGTTTGTGGGTTTGAATGCCACCCTGATTCCTGCTTTATTTAGAATCCTACGTAGGTTCTCAGATATCCCCTCCTTATATGGTATAACAGTGGATGACTTATATTCTCTCTTACTTATGTTATAATTACTAGTTTCACGATTATTTTTATTTCGCTTTTGACGTTTTTTGATCTTCCTAGTCAATTTTATAGGATAGTTAGTTATTTAACACCCATAGACAAAATGACTGCAACCTTATAATTTCACCATGAACCAAATTTATGTAATTTAAATAATACTTATCCATGCCTGTACAATTGGTGTGTCCTACACAGGTAGGAAAAAATGTATTTTATTAAATTACTATTAAATATGTTTACTAATCGTATATGTAATTTATCATATTGATGATGCCTGTAAACTGGCGTCCCTCATGTACAAAATGAGAATATACTATTATTTATTTATTTGATTATTTTTATTTCGCTTTTGACGTTTTTTGATCTTCCTAGTCAATTTTATAGGATAGTTAGTTATTTAACACCAACGCCTCTTCCCTCTGTTTTATTTCATCATTTAGGTCTTTTCTTGTGTTACTTAGTGCTATGGCTCGGTTTGTCAGACACTTAACTAAGCTGCCTGCCTTAACAGTTAACGGATGAGATGAATTAAAGTCAAAAAATCTATTAGAATGCGTTGGCTATTTATAAAAGCTAGTGTGTAGTTTAACTTTTTCTATTCGTTTTATTTGACAATCTAACATAGCTAATTCTCCTTGTTCATCTTCCGATCCATATGTGAATTTTATTCCCTCTACTAGTGAATTTATGTGTGTGTCAAGATGCTAGAGAGAGATATGTTCTGTTTTTAACACTGAGAAAGTGTCATCCGCATATCTCCACCATATTTTTGGAGTAGGATTAAATGTATTAAGAGGAATATTTTCCCAGCTTTCCATAAATATATCTGCTACACACATGTATATAAATGAAGGAAAAAGTTGTGTGAGTGACTTGATATGATTATGAGCAGCAATAGTTTATGCTCGAAACGTGGTCATCAGTTAATATTACTGTATAACACTACACTGTGTGTGACTTTATCAAAATAAAATCTTCTCCATAATGGAATTTAATTCAAGTTCACAGGATCAGTGTGTTCATCTATTTCGAAATAACTTTGTGAGAACTGACACTGAATAAAACACAGAGACCAACCTAGGGACATACTCAAACTTTCTACCATGTCACTTCCCGTCAGATAGTTCTTTCCTAGCTATTCCATATCTCCAGATCATTGTAAGTAATTTAAATCACTATGTCATTTCATTGTCACTGTAGTCGGTAATGAGAGCCCCACACTTAGTGATATGAACTGCCTAGCCCAATCTCGATAGATGGAGCAAGTTGCACGAACATGTGATCCTATGGTTGGACGTTCACAAGCTTAGACCAGTGATCCACCACAAAGACTCGGATAAAGTATAACTGCACTAGCATCATTCCGACAGATTTTCAATTACACATCACAATTAGAGTATTGGAAATAGGAAGGAGCATTCTATAATATGACCCAGCTAAGAAATATCAATCGCCAACTCGACCAACAGCTATCATCTTGACGTGATATTTGGGCTTGCATAACGAAATGACCCAACGAGCTAAACTGGCTCGAATAAATGTTTCTGTAGGTTGACCCCGAGAAAATAAGTAACTTAGAAAAAAAGGTCAGCAATTGCACTACATGCACTAACACACAACCACACAATAGGGTGGGTGAGAGAGGGTTAAGACTCTAAGAAGTAATCTATGTAGGTGGAGAGACAGATTGATTACTGAGTCCTGGTTCATTGAGTCTACACCCAACACATGCAACAGAAATGACTCAATGCAAATACCAGAAATATGGAAGATATTATTGCCGCCAGTCAAATCAGAGGAGGATAATAAATAATCTCAAAATTTTATATCAATTCAAGCACATCACAACATTCTAACAAGTTACTTATTATGACTATAAAAAACACTCGTCTTATTTCCCATCCGATTTTAATTGATCAATAACATTCATTTTATTATTTCTGAATGTACATTATCATATATTGATTTTTACTCAAATATCTGATCATCAATTCCACACATGTATATAAATGAAGGAAAAAAGTTGTGTGAGTGAGTGTCTTGATATGATTATGGGCAATAGTTTGTGCTCGAAACGTCATCAGTTAATATTACTGTATAACATTATGTGACTTATCAAAATAAAATCTTATCCATAATGGAGTTACACTCTACCACAGTGCCCAAGTTTTATACTTATATCAATAGGTTCTACCATACCAGAAATTTCGTTTGAATAGCGGTAAAACTAAAAGCAGTTACTGTCATAGTATAAATTCTTTACATCGTGTTGTGGGTCTGTGGGCGAAGTCGTACACTTCTGACGAATTGCCATACAACACAGCAGTAAGCTGATTCCCTCAGATGACCACCACCAGCATACCAACTATGCTGTCTGTCTACTGTGGAGAATGTCTGGGGTGATTAGAAAAGTTCGACGCCGAAAATTGTATATCCTGTGTAATATTGCGGAGATCCATTGCCGTCCACAGTAAGATCTTAATATCGACACAACTCTAAAACCCTCTTCAAACGATTCATGGTGTAACCGGTCTCGAGCAGTTGCCCCATGGGCTCTGCGCTCACGTAACACTAATTCTCCTTCTTTTTTAGATACCTCGGTCAGTGAATCTCCTAGACATCTCTGTCACACGCACAAATATATCTACACAGACAAGCGCATATGTCTCTTTTATCAACTAATCTCTAGTATTCAGAACAGTAATATATACCACAGTAATATGCCACACAGAAATACACAAAACTAGGCCTACCTCTTCGTTTCATTTGATTTGACGCATAAGGTACAACCATTTGATGATGTGGTGTAACAGGATTGCCGAATCCACCAGATCGTAGAATATTTGTCCCGCCAGTAGAAGGATAATAATACGATGAAGTTTGTTGACATTGGCCAGATTCATCATACATACCCGCTGGACCGTAAGCTGTTGATGGATCAGCATCCGAGCTGAAACAAGAAAGGTTACATTGATTCTTTCATCTTCTTACGAAATTCTTCGGAAGTAATTTGTTTATTAAGCGAAATAACAGAGAAGATTTGCAAATAACACTGAATGAATCTGGGTGTTAACGCGTTGCGTAAACTGGATAGCACTGAAGATGTTTCCAAGAAGGAAAGTGTGGAAGCTTCATAATTCAGTCCATAACCATTCAGTCCACAGAAGACATCCCTGGTGTGATCGTGAGTGCATTATGATGAAGAGTCCCAAACTAGGACGAAACCGCAGTACAGTACAATCCGGTGGTGTTTTCAGTAATTCTCTGATTGACGTGAGTTCATGATCAAACTTGAAGTTGATCAAATCCCTGTAAACCAACTCTGACTGCGAGTTGGTTTCTTTGGAGTTCTAGTGAGAAATCGTGACCATTGGGGTCCACTAAGAAAAATGTCTGTCTGCATATTTCCGACATAGAACTTTGCACCGATGAGCGGTAGTTCAAGTCGCCACACTCCATACAGCCCACACAGCAAGAGAAGAAAGTAGAAGAAATGCATACTAGCGACAGTAGACAGGGATATGAGATAAAAGGAAAAGTAATAAGGAAGAACAATGTAGTTTCATTGGTTATTACAAATCACAAGGAGTGGATGCATCTGTGCCAGCCATTGAGAACGATCACTTTGAGCCAGATCACTGATTGTCTCCAGCCATTGGTGTTTATCGTCCGAGGACCTCAACCAAGAAGTCTACACCTCCCTACGTGACTAGCTTAAACTAACTGTTGTGGATTTCATTAATTGAAGAAGCCATGTTCTGGTTTGACCACCACTAGCTCTTTCCCAACCTGACCCTATGCCAGCTAACATTGCCCGTCGAGGAAGGCGATGGTTAGGGATGCATGTGAAACACATGTCCTAACTATCTCAGTGGATGTAACTTCACAGCCTCGTCAATTGATTTCCCCTCCCTACTTAGCACTCGACCGACGCCTAACCTCAATATTGCTCACTTTACACGGGAGATAGAACGCAGGCACCTATGATCGAAGACACCTAGTCTTTACATGTCTTCCGCTCTCAATAGCCAGGTCTCACAGTCATAAAGGAGGATGGAGCGGAGTGCTACTGAGCAGTACACACGCCCTTTGGTCGATAGCCAGCCGGATATCACGTCTACGCCAGAGACGGCATAAACTGGCATATGCAAAACTAGCCCTCTGTATCGGTGTTGAGATTTTGTCACAGATCAACCCGTTGGGATTGATGCAACTTTCCAAATAAATGATCAGTCAACGCGCTCTACCGCTTCACTCCCTATTTCTAAGCTAGGAGCCAGTGTAGTGCAGTCAGTCCTGTAGCATCATCTTATATTTCTCGGGAGCGAATCGCATACCAAACATTCGTAGATTGCAGCTCACACTAAGAAAAATATTCCCCTATGAAATTGGCTGGCGTTAACTCCGTAGGCCACCACCAATTAGCAGAGGTTAGAATTCTGTCCCGGTGAATGAGTGGTCGGTAGGCTCTAGACTTGATTCCTGGTTGGGGGATCACAAGTACGTCCTACCGAAGAGTCCAAAACTAGGACGAAACAGCTGTCCAGTGCTCCCTGTTAGTTTTCACTAATGAACTCAGTCCCAGACGGGGAAAAATGGCCACTCAGTGGTTAGATAACTTTGGTTTAACCAGCAAGCGCTACTAGTTCATACAGGTGGTACCCAAATACTCATATCACTCAATCAGTGGCACATAGTACCAACAACTTACACTTGAGCTACGAATCTTCCCTATTATTTCATATATTTTGTATCTCAGTAAAATTCCGGGAGAGTGAGGGAGTTATAACAAGAGGTGAATTGCGTGACTAGGTATGAACTTCCGCTCATCGCTAAATTGGTGGCAGTCGGTTCAAGTTTTGAGACAAATCATGTTATTAGCTTAATTTTGATTGTAAGCATATTTAGTTTTCTTTTATATTTCACAACTTCTAGTAAATCAACACAAACACACACGCACAGACTGATTACGAACTGACTTCATTTAGAGGATCAATGGGAATCTGAGAGTACTGGACAGCTGTTTCGACCTTGCTTGGCCCTCTTCAGTAGTATGCACCCATAACCCACACCCAACAGGGATCGAACGCAGGATCTTCACATTAAAAGGCGAGCTTGTCGACCATTCAACCAGCCAGTGCTTATAGTTTTAGATTAGACAGCCATATCACTAGTAACTCCCAAAATTTAATAACAAATATACACTAGTAAATTCACCTTATTATATGGTTGGAGGCAATCGGCAGGAAGCCTTAACTAGATCTAGGTTTTGTGCTGGTTGGCAGTCACCATTCAGAAAGGCGTATCTGCAACTGCCTTGAAGCAACTCATGTACCTTCTGAGATTCAATTGTGTGTCCGAATAGCTCACTGTTGACATTTCTGACTGCAGGTGGCACTGGGTGACGCGGGTTCGAATCTCAGAGAGGTGGGACATGAGTTCCTTCAAGGCGCTTGCATATACGCCTTGCTGACTGGTGAGCGCCAACTAGCACGAAACCTAGGTCTAGTCAAGGCTTCCTGTGACCGATTGCCTCCAACCATCTAATACAAACAATTCACAGTGCACCGTGATGGTGAGCTGCCTAGAATGGTGGCCACATTGCAAACCTAACTGATAGAATTCAGTCTGCACCAAAGATAGGACTAGAGACAGATTACACTAGTTGCTGACAAGTGTCCAACCAAAATATATAACTTGGTGAAATTTTAAAAAAACAATGTTTCTTACTATTCAATTGTAGAGGTTGACGGTGGTACAGGTAAAGGTTGATAAGCACGCGTTGAATATGGAACATTTGCTGCCATTTGTCCATAGAGATTTCTTTGAACTCCCGCAGCTGTTGCACTACCACGGATAGATGGATTCTGTCGTGTAGATGTGGATAAAGTATACGGTGGACCACCACTAGCACCATTGTAGTCCACAGTAGCATAAGTGTCTGTCATATCCGATGGACAGTCAGAATCACATCGGATCAATTTTGATTGTTGAAGACGATTACTAGTTTTCGCCCGTGATACACCAAAAATAGGAATTCTACCACCGCCACCGCCTCCTCCAGCACCACGATGTCCAGATGCACCAGGGATAAGACGTCGTGAAGTAGGCTGATTAACTGTAAAGAATAGGAGAAATTAAGGTAACTGAATTAGAATAATAATAATAATTTAAAACAACTAGTTCCCCTTCTGAATTTAGTTAGACAAAGCAATAAGGAGATGTAATTCATGAGCCATTGGATCGGGTCCCAGTGGCTTAATGGTCTACGAGCTCGCCTTGTAACCAGAAGGTCCTGGGTTCGAATCCCGGTGGATGCGTACTGCTGAAGAACCCCAAACTACGACGAAACAGCTGTCCAGTACTCCCAGGTTTTCAAATGGTTCTCTGACTAATGTCAGCTCATGATGAAAATCCTGTAACCAATCAAATCCCTACAAACCAACACTTGAGACGTAATTTGTCTGAATCGTGTACTGTTGTATTTGTGCAACACATTTCGAACAATCTGATCCAGCACACACGGACTTGTCATAGGAATATATATGAAATTAATAAATAAATAGGTAAGAGGTGAGAAAATAAACTACTTAGGTCAAGTTAAAAGGACATATTCAAGGTCAAATAACAATGAAGACCATTAAACCAAATAGCAGAGGTAATAGTACATCTGCTATGGTATCAAAACAAAATTTACCAAGGAAGGTTTAATGTGATGACGAATTGTTGCTTTGAACGCATAAAGGTGGTCTAAACTTTCTAATTGCCGTCTAGGGCTTCCACAAACTTTAGGATACGGCCTCCCCGAAACACGTTTTATAGATAGGTTTAAAAGACGTGTAAACATCAATTTTATGTCCTATTTCTATAATATGTTTCGCAATAGAAGAGCTAGGTCTCCTGTTCTCACCATTAATAGGTTCTGAAGATTCCATTTGTTTCTGAAGCCCTTATTTGCAGAGATCGATGAGTCCTCACTATGTAAGTGTATCCACAGGTACATTCAAATAGGTAAATACAGTGGGATGTGACGTAATTTTTCGCATGTTCGAAGGGTTTAGACAGATATATTGGCTTTACATTCTCAATTATCATGATATTAGCTGCATAACAAGTCTTTTTAACCACAGTAGTGTTCAATCTTTGTCTAGTTATCAATAATAATAATAACCGATAATGACCGACTAATTGACTTTCAACATAGACCTTTGCACAGAAGTGCAGCCGTTCAACTCTTGTTACACTCAATTTAGCACACACACATATACAAAGGTAGAGAAAGAATGGAGAAATGGAGAAGCATGAAGGTTTAATGAATCTGGGGGATAACAAATAGTGTATACCTTTTTGCTACTGAGAAAGAGTTTCCAGTCATATATCACCATCATTCTCAAGCCAGTGGTTCTAAGCATCCCAAGGATGCCAGTAAGGTAGTCTACATTTTCTTACGTCGCTGATTCAAACCAACTATGGAATGATGTCAGGTTTCGGTTATTCATTGAAGAAGGCGGTGGCTCGGCATGCATCACACGTGTCGTAGTCATCTCAATCAATTCACTCCCGCCAAGTTTCTCTTCCTTACCAACAAATAGCACTCCACGTCTGACCACAATATTGTTCACTATATTATACCACTTACTTAACATCTGTAGACCATTGAAAACCAGCCACAGGGAGTACTGGACAGCTAGCTGTTTCATCAGCCTAGTTTGAGAATCATCGGCAGTAAGCACCCACCCCAACTGGGTTCGAACCCAGGACCTTCCCGGTTTACAAGGCAAGCTCGTATCCGTGATTAACTCATAAAAACAAAACTAATCCTTGCAAACCAAACTATAGAAAAGTAATCTGATGATCGCTAGTGACTTGCTACAGGATGGAGTTTTCTGGAGTCAGTTCTAGAGTGAGAAGTCGTGACCAGTGAGGTCCATCCTGATGTCAAGTGTGATGATGGATGTCCCACCGACGACAGTGGTTGGTGGTCGCGCTAAATCACGGATTAGTAGAGGTTAGAATTCATGAGCCATTGAATCGGGTCCCAGTGGCTGAATGGTCTACGAGCTTGCCTTGTAACCGGAAGGTCATGTGTTACAACCCCCAGTCAGGTGGGTGTGTACTGCCAATGATTCCCAAACTAGGATGAAACAGTTGTCCAGTACTCCCTGGTTTTCAATGGTTCTCTAACTAATATATTTGCAATTAAGCCAACTAGAATTAAAACTGAAATAACGCAAAACCAATGCAAAACTTCCTGACGGTTTCACACTAACTGTAGTGGAGGAAGATGAACTGAGCACCGATCGATAAGTTTCGACAAACAATTCAGACTATAAACAGTTAGATGTGGCTGGTCGCTCCCTCTGATAATTGAATGGAGAGCCACCAAAAATTTAGAGTGCGTCGATGGTTCGATGGTAGAATAATACTCGCTAGCCACGCTGATAGGTCCGGCTTCAACCACCGAAACCTCACCTTGCCGATATTAAACCCAGAAAACAGGGATGGTTGAGTGTGAAACTTCAATACTACTCAAAGCTTGAAGCCCACCCAGTGTTCCACACGGAACTCAAAGGAATCAAGACAAAAAGAAATGCTACTATTTAAAAAAGATTTTTAAACAACAAAATGTTTGCGCAGAAAGAGTCAATAAAAAAAATAATAAGTGAAGCTAAATTACTAAATTACCATCATAGATAAGTGGTACTTCACAGGCTGCATGTCGTGCTTCATCCGGTTGCGGTGGTTGTTGAGTGAACTGGCGTATACCAGAGTCTGTTGCATCACTGGAAGCAGAACCTCCACTGACTTCTCCATCACCAACTTCAGTTGTATCGATCAGTGCAGCAGGATGAGGAACAGCAGCAGTGGCGGTGTTCGTATTTGTATGATCCAATGCCATATTCATATGAGCAGGGATTAAACGTGCACCGAAATTCATTGGTACAGGATGAGGTAAAGCTGCATTCGATGGTAAAGTGAGACATGATCTCAAGTGATGCTTACGACCATATTCATAAGCTTGCATAAGCTCTTCATGATTTGATGAAACTGTTGTACTCGATAGTACACTTCCACGATAGGCAACAGAAGGATCAGATGGTTGAATACTGCCACCGGATTCATAAAATGATACTGATGCGGCGTTTGGACCTACAGCAGAACCACCACCACCACCAGAGACAGTAATTCCAACAGGTAATAGAATTCGTCCACCTGGTGCACAAGTACCAAAACCACGATGATAAGTTTGTGATCCTTTAATAAAGAGAACAAAGAAAAAACAATCCATATTTAGTAAGGAAAAACGTGGTAAACAAAGTCAGTGGTGTGTGTAGCCATTAATTGCTAAGTAGACCCATTCAATTATCGTCACGATATACCGCTAACTAACTAAGGTCGAACATTAAGTGGACAGTGACTGGATCAGTGCACGGTGAGATGATCATTTCAAGGTCTAGTGATCCGACAGTCGGCAAACATCACTGATAAAAACAAATATGAACCCGGTGGGTGCGTACTGATGAAGAGTCCCAAACTAGGCTGACGAAACAGCTGTCCAGAACTCCCAGTTGGTTTTCCAGTGGTTCTCTAACTAATGTCAGCTCATGATGAAAATATGAAGTAGTTTGCTGGACGATGTCAGTTCACAACGAAAACTTGAAAGCGAAATGTTATCGTTTAACTGGACCGACGCACTTGGCCTCTATTGACATGTCGGCCGAGCATTTCTATCCAGTCAGTCAAGGGGAAAGTCCCAAATGAATTAAATAATAACGGATACGCGTTGCACAAGAGGTGACTGCCATGGCCCAAGCGGTCTAGTGGATAACGATTTGGTGTTTGAAACTATGGGTACTGGGTTCGAGCCAGTGCTAGTCACCATCCACCAAATTATTTTTTCATTCCTTTACGTTCCCAGCGGAACATAGGACACCTTCAAGCTAGAGGCTTGAATTTTCTGTAGCAGTGGTGATTATTTTTACAGGATGGGGTTGCTAGCCAGCCTCATATTCAGCCCAACCTTCCCTCTCTACCAGTCTTACTACTGGCTTAGTGAGGTGAAGTAAAGGAGTGCGTCGGTGGCCGGGGATCGAACCCCTGACCAAATGAGGCGTGGTCGACGAGCACTCCTACCGCTGTGCCACCGACGAATTCACCAAATTATTTCGAGAAATGTTCTCCTTTGATAAGTTTTGATAAAGCAACAGAATAGATCGAATCTGCAGCAGACTACCTGAAATTAAAAAGCTTATAAAGGGAAAGAATAAAGGAGATCCGTTTCCCCTATGAGATATTCTAGTTTCCTCCCCAAATTGTTTGGAGAACATAGCTTCCTCACTATGTGGCACCGTCTAGTCAATATTCCTTACTCACAGCTGACAGGACAGACAGTGCTGCAGAAAGAGGATAAATGATAGTACTATTAAAATGGTTGTCGACAAAAAAAATACACATTTGGATGTCATACGAAAATCGACCCTGGTTAACTTTGTCCCCATAAAAGAACTGGTATGGCTTACAGTGAGTAGACTTAGGTCTTCCTCTCAAAATCGTCTCATGCGGCCACGCGTTCATAGCCTCCGGCGGGTAAGGTCTATTCACTGCTTTCACGCTGACGGGGTGTTCTTCACAAAGGCGGAAAACGGAGAATACAAACGTCTGTGTGATGCTCACAACTGGACTGATGGATACGCTGGTCTACTTCTACCTAGATGAGCTGAAAAACCCTGATTCCAAATCTATGGTGTACACGGGCTTCACAATTCAAACGGATCATATGGCGTGTGTACAGTTGTTTTTATCACATTCAACCATAGAAACGCGGCTCCTGACGCTAATCCACCACTGTGTGGATCAAACTTTAAGTCAAAGGCTGGCTCAGCGGGGTAGCCCCTTAGAGAAGATTACCTGCTTCCGTGTGGGCGGCGTTTGAGCAGTATCCCAGCCCTCGCATAAATTATGAAATTTTGTGTGGAGTATCGTTTGGTGCCAATAATGTACCGAGTTTTTTAAACTGATAATAATAATTCCTCCTCCTCACATTAAAATCCAAGAGGTTAAACACGCTGTCGTACTCATATTATGCTGTAGACTGAATGTTCCGTGTGGACCTCATTGAGACTGTCAGACAATTCAAATGCAAGAATAATACAGTAATTTCAGCCTCTCTGAAGCTGACGAGGGAATGTAAAATAAAATGGTATCGATCTATATTGGTAATTCGGAAAATGGAACTTCAAGGTCAAATAAGCTTCAACCTTTTCTCCAAGTTGTCATGAGTGGTTGGACAAACACGTGTCCAAGAAACAATGGGAAGAGATTTCTAGTACATTAAATGATTCTTCGGAACGTGTCATTCTTTGGCGACTGGGGTTGGGCAAAATTTTAACCCAAAAACGTTTCGATATCACACTAGTTACCCTAATCAGTAAGGCTTCTTAGATTGTGTAAATTATATAATTTCTTATTTTTAAACAAAAAAAATAAAGAAGAAATACTTACGTCCTCCTTGTAACCGATGTAGAGATTCAAATGAGTTGACCCGCCGGGTTAATCCACTTCTTAAAGGACCAAGTACTGAAGTTCTCGCGAATTCCTCTGTAGTATCTTCAGAATCACAACCTAGCGTACCATTATCATATGGTGCCAATATCACAGGATCAATTAGAGCAGCTGTAGACGGTGGAACTAGTCGTGGATCAATCATATGTTGAGCTAGCCTTAATCGACCACTAGATCCAACACGAATAAGATGATGAGAAGGTCGTCCAAGTGTAGAATTGCCAACAGTTGAATCTAAATTTGGATAATGATAATGATGTCCTGGAACACTCATCATCGACTCGGGATCTGAAGGAATTGAAAGGCCTGAAAGAAGGGACAATAATAAAAATAATAATATTAAGATACACATTACACTAGTCAGGCAAATAAAACTTTGTCATAAATCTGTGGATTTACCTGCATAACCCAAACTTATCAAATAAAGGGTCAGTTATGGTTTGAAAAGTCTAGTGGTGAAGTCGTGACCATTTCAGTGGTGATATGAAACTGGTTGAGATAAATCTATGTGTGGATGTAAGTTTCCTAAAGGTTACATATAAGCATGCCTTTGTGTGATAAATATACACGTAGGGAAAAAGTGCTATTGGTGTTAGAGACGGAGTGCTAGGTGGTGGTAAGGAAGGGAAACGTGCGGGGAGTGAATTGATTGAGATTACTACGACACGTGTGATGCATGCTGAGCCACCGCCTTCTTCAATGAATAACCAAAACCTGGCATCATTCCATAAAGTCTTTGATAGTTCGTTTGAACCAGCAAAGTAAGAAGGTGTAGACTACTTTCCGGGAGTCCCCGGGTTGCTAAGATCCCCTGGCTTGAGAATGATGATGATATATGACGCGAAACTCTTTCTCAATAGCAAAAAGGCATACATTATTTATTATCCCCCAGATTTATTAAACCTTCATGTTTCTCCATTTCGCCATTCTTTCTCTACCTTTGTGTGTGTGTGTGTGTGCTAAATTGAGTGTAACAAGAGCTGAACGGCTGCACTTCTGTGCAAAATTCTATGCTGAAAGTCAATTAGTCGGTCATTATCGGTTATTATTATTATTGATAACTAGACAAAGATTGAACGCTGCTGTGGTTAAAAAGACTTTTTATGCATCTAATATCATAATAACTGAGAATGTAAAGCCAATATATCCAACCATCTAAGCCCTGAGAACATGTGAAAAATGATGTCACATCCCACTGTATTTACCTATTTGAATGTACGTGTGGATACACATACATAGGAGGGAGGACTCATCGATCTCTGCAAATAAGGCCTAGCTTCAGAGCATATTCCTAAATGGCTTCAGAAGCAAATAGAAGCCCCAGAACCCAGGCGACCTAGCTGATCAAGTGTTGGTTTGTAGGGATTTGATTGATTGGTTACAGGACTTTCATCATGAGCTGGCATTAGTTAGAGAACCATTGGAAAACCTGGAGGGAGTACTGGACAGCTATTTCGTCCTAGTTTGGGACTCTCCATCAGTAGGCACCCACCACCAGAGTTCGAATGGACACGGAGAGCTCGTGGACCATTAAGCCACTGGGACTCGATCCAATGACCAGTCAGTCCATGAATTCTAACTTCTGCCAGTTCACGCACGACATAACGCGACCTCTAGCCAAAGTCATCGCTGGCGAGTATTTGTCCTCACACCTGACCTGCCGCTGCACCCTACTGGGCACGACTTCCCACTAGAACCCCAGGTAACTACTTATTTGAATAGGGACAGTCTCTAGTGAGCATCTCATTGATTTTCAAGTATTGGTTTGTAGGGATTTGATTGATTGGTTACAGGATTTCCTGATGAGCCGAAATCGGTTAGGGAACCACTGGAAAACCTGCAGTAAGTACTGAGCAGCTGTTTCGTCCTAGTTTGTAACCATAAAGTCCTGGGTTCGAACCCTGTAGGTGGGTGCACTCCTAAACCTCGCCCAGTCGATATTAAGCTTGGGGTATAAGGCAGTGTGTGCGGACCTTTCCCCCGTAGAACAAAAAACCAACACCTCTCCTCCTATTGAGGTTTCAAAGCTTGAAGAGTCCTTAAAAGAGTGAAAGCAACAAGATTCATAACGGGTACATCGCTGATGAACTGGAAACAAAATAACCGTCCAGTTTTTTTTTAAATCACCTCGATTTCTCTATCTACCAAGCACCACTGGTTAAGATGTGATTGATATCCAACTACTCATTTCAATCAATCAGGAGTGTATAATAATTCTTAATGCAAAGTTACATTTCACCAATTCTGCGTTCGCTGGCTCCATACTGAAGTTCAGATGGCAAGTCAGAAAGAATTAGCAACAAGAAACTTTGGGAACGAGCCAATCATGAACCTAGTGCTCATCAAATAGGCTGAAGGAAATGGAGATGAATGGAACACACGCTGATGGGACCAGTGGGTATCATCGCACGCCAGACCGTCGAGTGGGACACAAGTTATAAATGACGAGTTGGACATCCGAATGTGAAATGAGGTAGATCGCAGGAGAAGAAAAGGAAAGCTTATGGGCAATCGTCGACCCAGCTACAAACAAACTGTAGCGGGTCTGTCTGTCTGTTTCCGACATATAACTTTGAACCGATGTGCAGCAGTTCAAGTCGCCAAGCTTCATGTAGCACAACACAACAAGAGAAGAAAGTAGAAGAAATGCATACTAGCGACAGTAGACAGGGATATGAGATAAAAGGAATAGTAATAAGGAAGAACAAAACAGATTCATTGGAAATCATAAGTCACACTGGAGTGGATGCATCTGCGCCAGCCATTGGTTCTTACCGTCCGGAGGACCCCAACCAGGAAGTCTACATCTTCCTATGTAACTAGCTTTAACTAACTGTCGTGGATTTCATTGACTGATGAAGCCATGTTTTGGTTTGACCACCGCTAGCTCTTTTCCAGCCTGACCCTATATCAGCTAACATTGCTCGTCGATCGAAGAAGGCGATGACTAGGCATACGCAACACATGTCCTAACCATCTCAGTCGATGTAGCTTCACAGCCTCGTCGATTGATTTCTCCTTCTTGACTTACCTAGCACTCGACTGATGCCTAACCTCAACATTACTCACCTTATTATACCACTTCACACGGGAGATAGAACGCAGGCACCTATGATCAAAGACAACTAATCTTTTCATGTCTTCCACTCTCAATGACCAGGTCTCACAGCCATAAGGGAGGACGGACTGGACTGCTGAGCAGTACACCCGCCCTTTGGTCGATAGCTAAAAACAAACTGTAGCGAGTAGAGTATAATGAAAATGTTCCACTCAGAACCTAAGGGAATAATAATAATAATAATAATGGATATTACACCAACAAACAGATGAATAGATTTGAAAGGCGAACTCAAAACAAACAAAAAAACTACAACTCACCACGTCTAAATGCTGTATTCCATACAGGTGGTTTAGGCATATTTGAAGTACAATTATCCCGCCTCATGCCTGTATCACGTATAGCTCGTCCACCGCCCCTTCCACCACCGACTACCATCATACCACCATCAACCATTGATGAGGGAACAACTCCAGAGGATTTAACACCAACACCAGATGAACCAGTCAGTAAATTAGCACTTGTACCAACTACACCCCCAGTACCACCACCATCTGTACGATCACCAAAACCAGTTGCTGCATATGTGGCATATGGATTAATATTGCCTAGGATTTTTTTAAAAAAAAATACAAAACAATGGGAAATTGAATTTTGAATGTGAACACCCGCATGATTCATATTTTAAAAGATTCATTTTCGTCATCAACCGATGCCAACTTTATAGCTAATCAAATCAATATCAAATTGACATCAAGGATACTGTGTGACCGCCAACCACTACCACAATGAGAGCTGTGCAATATGACGGGGAAATTTGCTAGAGAATTTTGAAAATATTACCCTACTAGCTGCAAGCCAAAAATTGTAGACAACAACTGACGTCAGTGTTCACATCCCGAATCGGGGTTATGAAAGAAAAAGCACAAGAACAAAGCTTAACCTTGAGGAACTCAACAACCAATCATAGCAGACTTAACGTGTGCAAATACGATTCGCAGATATGTGGCCATCACTTTCTAAGAAACGGTCACAAGCATTACAGAATAACCTTCAGCAAGAAAACAACCAATCAGAAGACGTTGTTTCTCCACTGACAATAATGTATATAAAAATCTATAAATATCTGTTGATTTTCTCAATAAATGATCTGTTGCCTGGCCCTTGTCTTCTGTCGTTACACTATAACCTTGCAAATAAATTATACTATCATTCTAGACTTAATTCGGCATGTATTCCTCATCACCTTATATCTGCTAATCGTATCCGCCCACGCTAAGTCTACTGTGATTGGTTGTTGAGTTAGTCTTTGTTCTTGCTATTTTTTTCTCATGACCAAGATTTGGGGCGTAAACATTGACGTAAATTGCTGTCTACCAATTTTGGCTAGCAAAGAGCTCTCACCACACAACTACATCGAAACTTTGCTTTCATGAAGATTACTCTCTTCAATCTGTTTTTATCTAACCATGTTGAATATTTCTCTTCTTCCCATTCTAAAAAGGGGACGGGGGGTGAGTGGTTGCACGGAACTTGATTGAGGTGAACAGATCTCCTGTCAGGGATTAAAATCAGATGGGGGTATATACTTAAAGATCAGGAAGCACAGATTTAAAGTTTCCTAACAGTTTCTAAATTACAATCTTATGTGACATGGAAACATGAGGTCTTACATTTCATGATGATCACTTTCGGTGAATTCAAGAGTGTTTTGACTGCTTCATATAAGGCAGAAATTAAATGAAGCCAACCACTGATCTCACTACCTTTTCAATCATACTCTATGCGTAATGTTAATTCATAATAATAAAAATATGCATATAAACGGCTTTTTTGGGAGTACTCATCACAAACGAAAGAGACCACGGTTCATTACCTTCACTATCAATTGAATTAGTCGACAGTCGTTCATCTTCATCACCAACAATATGACTACCAATCTGATTAGCACCAGTATGAAGTGAAGGCGGTTCAACAGTATTCACAGGATGTCCACGATCGTATAGACGCATTCGTGTTCCATTGAACCAGCTATAACAAAGCAAAAATAATAACAGCAAATAAATAAACAGTTGAAATGACTGTTGTATATGAAAGTCGTGTTTTCGTAGAGTATGAGAAAGGTTGGAGGAAATATGATAAATAACTTTGAAAGCTTTGTCAGTGTCAACTTAATGTCTTACATTGATAAGATCAGACAAGTTCATCATCGAATATCTGAATACCTTCCATCTTGGTTTGACAAAGGTCCGAATCAAGCTGTTATACGCAGCTCAATACTAGGTCATCTCATCGATACTGGAAATCAAGTTGACTCTAACAAAACTTCTAAAGTTATTTATTATGTATCACCCAACCTCTCGCTGCATGCTCTGCGAGTACAACTTTCACATACAGCAGAGGCAATCGGAATACATCTAAACAAGTTAAATCTGTGTGTCCAAAAGAAATTTGTACAGCGCCTTTCCTTGTCTTGATCAATTACATAATATGTCAAAAGTTTTGCAAACGATTCCCCCTTGCCCTTGTAACTATCTTTTGTCCTTGTTATTTTATTATGTTTACAAATCTAGCTAATCCAATCACTCCATAATGCTTTGAATGTAGTTTCCCGGCCGATAGCTGCTACCTTGACGTGGTGGTCGGGCTTGCATATCTCAATGACCCAACGAGCTACACTGGCTGGAACTTATGTTCCTGTAGGTCCTACCATGCCAGAAAGGTTGTTTGGATAGCAGTTAGACAAAAAGCAGCTACCCAGTCCAAAACTATGATTCAAACAAATTAACAAAATATCATGCCGGATCGGTCGAGGCCCGGATTAACAACGACCGCGCTTCTTGCTGCCGTGTCACAGGGCAGAAGTGATAAATATGCCACTGAGACACACCAAATGAAAAGGAACAAACAAAAACAGGCCGCGTGTGACCGGCCTCAAGCAGTTATCCCCTGGGCTCTGCGGTCACGCAACACTAACCTTCTCTCTATTTCAGGTACCCGAAGACTCAACCAACTTCCACGGTGTGGGCAGCCGGGAAGTAACAACCGCCCTCACACTTCCAAAAGCACACGAAGCCTACCTGAGTATCACTCTACCCTACTCACATCACCTTCCTTTGAATGTAGTTTGAAGCAGTAAACACCTTTTTGTCAACTGTCTACTTCTCCTTGTTTCCGTGTGCCGGTGCCTGATGTTGTGTGATTTAGTCGTTAGAGAGGAGTTTTCGTTAGTACACCAATGTAGGCATTTTTTGCAGTCTATTAATTAGTATTACTGATCATATCAAAAATTAAAAGGAAATCTTTTATTTTTCAAGGGTTGATTTATTTTTCGAATTTGACCATGGTTTGATATCAGTTAGAGAACTATTGAAAACCAGCCACAGGGAGTACTGGATAGCTAACTACTTCGTCCTAGTTTGGGATTCATCGGAAGTACACACCCACCACAAGGGTTCAAACCCAGGACCTTTTGTTCACAAGGCGAGCTAGCTCGGAGACCATTAGGCCAGTCACTGGGACCCAATTCAATGGCCAGTCCATGAAATCTAAATTTTACCAATTCGTGATTTAGTGCAACCACCAACCAGTGTCACCGCAGGAATCCCATCCTCACACTTGACTGGATGGACCTCACTGATCACAACTACTTCTCACTAGAACTCCAGGAAACTCCGTCCTGTAGCCAGTAACTAGGGAGCATCACATTAATTTTCTATGATTGGTTTGTAAGGATTAGATTTATTTTTCATGAGTTTGACCACGGATTGATATCAGTTAGATACCAATCGGAGGGTTTAAATGACATAGATCTTGTTTTTCTTAGATTAACTTGAGGACATTACACGTTTCTTTTGAGATTCTAAGCAGTTTCATTCCATTTCAAAGCTGGTAACCTTACAACTATGGTAGTTGGACAGGTCTTCTTATTCAATGGACTTTCTTCCACTTGCATCTAAAATTTGATGTCACACCACCACTACAGTAAATTGGAGAGTTTTGACATTTCATTTAAATGAATACACCTTGTTGATGATTAAAACCTGATGACTATCATGGATAGGAACTTTGTGTAGCATCCTAAAGTTCTACATCTACTAGACTAACTACCGAATACATGGTTACCTTATAAGATGGTTGGAGGCGAAAGGCACGAATCCCTCCGCGGAGCTGTGTTTCGTGCTTGTTAGTACTTAACCAGTCAGTAAGGTGTATATCTAAAATCTTGAAGGAACTGATATCCTTTCTGAGATTGAAACCTGTGTCAAAGAAGCTGCCACTGAGCTAATCAGGCTCAGCTCATTCAGGCTGACTAAATTATCTGGTATAGGCCTTTTATTTACCAGATGAAGAGACACGCTTACACGATGTGAGAGTACTGATGATACTACTGCTCGTAGTAGGTTGCTCAAACTGAATTAGGCGGGAAAGGACTCGAACCTGGGACCCATTAGGGTGAAAGCTTAGCGCCTAATTCGATGAACCAAATCTCTACTGGTATTAGTTGGGTTCACATCATAGTACAATACAACAGCAACAACAACTACAATATTCTCTAGACGGTTTCAAAAAGTAACGTCCAAAAAACCAAGTAAATCCCTCTCTTTGTGTGTTTTACATTCTCATAATGATGCATGAGTATTTCTATAATTAGTGCACATACTGTACTCGAAATAAGACGAAATATATTAATAGTAATAATCAGTTAGAGAAGCATTGAAAACCAGCTGTCTCGTCTTTGTTTGAGACACTTCATCAGTATGCATCCAGTACCATCAGCTCCAAAGGGTTGATCTCCGACGAAATCTCAGCACGAATAGAGAGGGCTAGTTTCGCATATGCCAGTTTACGCCGTCTCTGGCGTAGACATGATATCCAACTATCGACCAAAGGGCGGGTGTACTGCTCATCCTCCTTTATGGCTGTGGGACCTGGCCATTGACAGTAGAAGACATGAAAAGCCTGGTTAGCTGTCTTTGATCATACGTGTCTCTGTGCTATCTCCCGTGTGAAGTGGTATAATAAGGTGAGCAATATTGAGGTTAGGCGTCGAGTGCTAAGTGAGGAGGAGAGGAAATCAATCGACGAGGATGTAAAATTACATCGACTGAGATGGTTAGGACATGTGCTACGTATGCCTAGTCATCGCCTTCTTCGATCGACGAGCAATGTTAGCTGATATAGGGTCAGGCTGGAAAAGAGCTAGCGGTGGTCAAACCAAAACATGGCTTCATCAGTCAATGAAATCCACAACAGTTAGTCTAAGCCACGTAGGAAGGTGTAGACCTCCTCACGGGTTGGGGTCCTCGGGACGGTAAGAACCAATGGTTGGAAACAGTCGGTGATATGGCTCAAAATCGTTCTCAATGGCTGGCGTAGATGCATCCACTCCATTGTGACTTATGATTTCCAATGAAACTGTTTTGTTCTTTGTTATTACTATTCCTTTGTCTCACACCTCTGTTTACTGTCTCTAGTATGCATTTCTCCTACTTTCTTCTCTTGCTTTGTGTGGTACATGGAGTGTGGCGACTTGAAGTGCCGCACATATGTGCAAAGTTCTATGTCGAAAACCGACCGACCGAGTATGCACCCATCACCTCATAGGGAGTCGAATCCAGGGCCTCCAGGTTACATGGAGAGCTCATTGATTAATTCAACCACTAGGACGAAGTACAACGACCAACCCATGAATTCTACTAACTTCTGTAAATTCGTAAAGTTGCCTGGGCATTCTATTGAGAAATAACCAGTAGGGTTCACCATCAGATTGGGTGAGAAGATAAATACTCATTGATGACGTTGGCTGGGACTGAAGCTAAAATCGCCAACTGTCAGAAGTTAGACTTTATGTGTCGGCCCCTGAACTCTCTCCAAGTGGCTGAATGACCAACAAACTCGTCCCTTGAAACCTCAAGGTCCTGAATTCGATTCCCAACAGGATCATGGGTGCACACTGATGAACAGTCTCAAACCGGGACGAAACAGTTTTCCAGTAGTACTCTTGACAAAGTACTTGAAAAAGCAATCAAATCCCTTTTAAAAAAAACAAACTAACCTTTTTATGCCACCACTTCTGTGACGACCAACAGCTACAACTGTACTTGCTTGAGAATCTGGTTGTTGACCACCACCAGCAGGAATCGGTGGAAGACTATCATTCCCATAAGCTTTTCTTCCAACTCCACCTCCACCAACGTGATAAGCATGATAAGAATGTCCGACAGCTGACTGTTGCTGTTGCTGGTGGTGTTGTTGTTGTTGTTGACGTTGTTGCTGTTGCTGTTGTTGTGAATCACCCTGATGACTTGGCAGTAAATCATTATGCGCTACAGTGATATCTTTATTCGGTGTCAAATCTTCTTCTAGTCGACGATGACGACAAAAGAATAACAGGGCCACAGTGACAAGTAATAATATTGCAAATAATGCTGTAATAGGTACAATGACTGTAGGCTGTTGAAATAGATTTGCTTTGCCAAGTAGATGAGTCTGTCGTAGAACTGGTTCATCTAATTAGGATAGACATCAAAACGAAAAATAAATCATTAATCACAATATCAATGGGTAAAAAGAAGTACATCGATAATCAATCGATAATGACACACGTTTTTTTAAGTAAAAGACAACTAATATTTGAAAAACTCTTTTTTTCTCCATTCTTTTGACTTCCCAGCGGAACATAAGACTCCAAGTTTCAGTAGCAGTGGTACGGTACATAGCCTCACGACCAAGCTTCCCTGTTTATCAGGGTTGATACAGGCTAAGCAAGGTTTTAGGGATGCGCCAACCGGGAATAAAACTTAGACCACGTGCGTCGTTGATGTGCATCCTACCATCGACGGTCGACGCACAAAAATGTGGAGAAGATTCGTACCTCGGGATGGATATGTTTCGGTGTTTGTGCTGCTATTATATTCACTAAGTTGGATGATTTAATTGCGGACCTTTCGTTATCCTTCCTAGACAACATCTTCAATGCGAAATTCTCATTGAAGTTAGCGTGATACAACATCAAACAATGGAGATAAATAGGATAATAAAATATTACTCAACAACCAATCGTAATTCCATGCACTTGGCAGCGAAAGCTAATGATACGCCCTAACTGGCAAAAACTCGGTACGTCGTACTGCCTGGTTCGAACCAGTAATACACTGGTTCCGAATGGAACCCAGGATTTTAACAGCACGTTTTTATTTTGTCTTGTTCTCTGCGGTCCTCTTCAGCTGGCGCCATGATTGCCCACAAGTTTTCATCCCCTCCTCCTCGGACATACGCCCATCCTGCCATTCCACACTCACCTTCCACAAGAGGGTCACCTTGGGGCTTGATTCCACTCGACGATCTCCTCATAGTGTGTCCTTTCCATCTCCATCTTCTCCTACACATTTTGCCGAGCAATAGATTGCTGGCTGGTTCGTTGATAGAGTCCTCAGTTATGAATCCTTTCTGGCCGGTCATCTGATCTTCACTATAGAGCCAGAGAAGGCAGCTGTTGATAAAATTTTACAGTGGCCTGTTGGAAATGTTTTCTGTGACGCGATCCATACAGAAGAATTGGCTAACTTGACATTGGTATCGAAACGTCATCAGTAAACATTACTGTATAACACTGTGAGACTTTATCAAAATAAAATTTACCCATAATGGAATTACACTCTACCACAGTGCACAAGTTTTATTCTTATATCATAGGTATCGAAAACTTGAATCTTTCTCCTTATGCTGAATGCAGTCAACTTCCAGACTGATATCAGCGAAATAAATGTCTGTCTTGCCTTTTTGACTCTGGTTTCGACATCCTCACCCATACCCTACTTCTGCTTGTATTTGAAACGATACTGCATAGATAAGTGAAGAGAATGACCCTGTTTCACCATCAAGTTTATTCCGTGGATAGTGACTGATGCTTGCTGTTGTTGTTGGTTGGTTGGTTATTTTCATCCCCTTGGTGTTCCATATATATATATATATTCACTTAAAAGTCCTGTCTTTTTTCCTGCTTCGTCTAACGATATGTTGGTTTTCGCCAGTGAGTCTTTGAATTAATATGGACATTAAACAAGCATCGTTCACAAATACATTACAACAAACTGAACAAGAGAAACTATAGGTAATGGAGTGGCTTTATTGCATATCACCGCTAAGTATAACATCGTATCCCGTTGCTTTTATCAGAAAATGTTTAATACCGATATCTGCTCAGTGGAGTAGATTATTAGGAGGCAATGGGTACAATTAAACGTATGTTTTTCAGATGTCATACAATCATGCTGGTATATTTTGGCCTATTTATTGAGACGTCCGTATATCCATCGTGCGTCGGTGACACAGCGGTTGAATGTTCGCCAACCAACCACGCATGTGGTCAGGGGTTCGATCTCCGGTCACTGACGCACTTCTTTACCTCACAAAGCTAGTAATACGACTGGTAAATAGGGGAGGTTAGGTATGAGGCTAGCAACCTCATCCCGTAGAAATAAATATCACTGCTACAGAAACTTTAAGTCTCTAGCTTGAAGCCCTATGTTTCTTCCACTGCGAAAGTGAAGGAATAAACAACAACAAAAATTGAAACGCCCTAATACCCACAGGATAAAGCAGGTGGCATCACTTCACAAAAAAAGGATACACCATATAATCGCCCAATGCAATATGTAATGATGGAGTATATCGGTGGTAGCGCATGTTTTAAACAGACCGCCGCCCCGCGGTGAAGTTAACCAAAAGGTGTGTGCGTGTGTTTATCAAATGTAAATTTATTCTGTGATCAATATGTTAAATACTGTCTGGTATTCACTAGCAATTAACTGTTTTAGTTAGTACCTGACTGAAATTCATATATCTCTAGTAAGATCATTTGGAATTAGTTGTGTTCTCTGAGCTGACTGGTTCGTTTCATTGCGGAGCTTTCATCGTCCTCCTGCTGGACAACACTCCCCCTTCAGCGCAAGTTTTAGCATAAAATGAACTGACATTGTAGTGAGAGTTGGCTGCTAACCAAATTGGTAGACAGTAATTTACGTCAATGTTTACGTCCCCAATATTGGTCGTGAGAAAAATAAGAACAAAGACTGATTCAACAACCAATCACAGCAGACTTGTTTGCATAGGCGGATACAATTTACAGATAGATAATCTGAACTTCAAGAAACGGCCACAAAGAGATGAAAGATTAACGTTCAGCGAGAAACCACCAATCAGAAGACTGTGTTTGTTTGCTTACAATAATCTACAATAATGTACATAAAAATCTATAAATATCTGTTGATTTCCTAAATAAACGATCTGTTGCCTGTCCCTTGTCTTCTGTTGTTACAATATAACTTCTCCATGAATGAGAGAAGTGTGTCTCCTGGCAGCAACCATCTTCATGCCTGATAGTCAATTTACATCTATTTTGACCCTTTTTTATTGAATATCCTCACAATTTCATCAGAAAGTGTTTAAAATCAAGTCACAACACCAACAGGAAACCATCATCAAAGACTACAGGAAAATTCATTCTACCATATATATAAAAAATATCTCTCTAGAATGTTAAAACCATTTGAAATAGATATAGCACATAAGACAGCCAGCCAGCCGGTACAATCACTTCATTCGATGTTGTGCACACCAAAAGACCAATCCAACAGAAAAAGAAGACAAAATTATCACCATTTACAAAATAAATTGCATGTTTGAACTGTAACAGACATTACATCGGTCAACAAAGTGGGCGTCCCCTTCGAATCAGAATCCAAGAACACAAATTAGCTGTGAAAAGACATGATATATATATTCCTGTTTCATATCAATGCATGTAGATAATTATGGACATCAATTTGATGATTGGAATAATGTCGAAATTTTAAATAGAGGAAATACCAAAATTACTGCCAGGGAAATCCTAGGAGCCTGGTTGGTACTCAAGTGAATCGACCAGCGATTAACAAACATATGATTACTATGGACCAATTTTACCAACTGATAGAATGTAAGTCACCACATGACAAGAAAGTTAAAATTCCAAGTCAATAAAAAAAGATCAGCGCCGATGTAAATCGGCTACCAGTCACGAAGATGGTTGCTGTCAGGAGATACAATTCTGTCATTCATGGAGAAAGAATTTAAATCAGTTCATTTTATGCTGAAACTTGCGCTGAACGGGGGTTGTTGTCTAGCAGGGGGATGACGAAACCTTCTCAATTAAACCAACCAGTCAGCTCAAAGAACACACAACTAATTGCAAATCATCCCCATCTGTGCTACAAATCTTCTGCATTATTATTTCAAGTAAGATCAATCAAAAAAAAGGTAAAGATAAATGCGAACACTACTCACGTCCTGAAACAGTTCTTGTCCAAAATTGTCCTTGAACACTTGCTGAACCAGCAGCATTTGACGCTACAACCTTATAATGATAATGAGCTCCCGAATTCAAATTAGTCACATTGTAACAACATCTGAGAAAGTAAAACACGAGGAAAAAAATTAAAAGACAATATAACAGAAAAAAAAGAGGGGTGAATAAGATAAGATATATCAGGAAATTATTTATTTACCACCAAGAGTAAATCAGCGCGTCTGCTATGCAAATGTATCATCGAACACTTACCTACAGTCATAGTTTTGAAAAGGAGAAAAAAGGTTCCCCCGCCCCTCCCACAAAGCTTTATTCTGGAACACCTGATCGAATCGCAGCACCAAGCAAACCCACAAAGTAACTTCAAAGTCATCTACAGAATACGTGGAAATCTTGCTAAGAGGAGTACGAATCAAACTTCTTCAAACCCCTGAGAAACAATGTATTATTATTATTGTTTCCTTTAATTCCTAGAGGAACATAGGGCTTCAGCCGTACGTCTCCATTGAGTTCGGTTCTCTGCTAGAGTCTTCACCTGGCTCCAAGTCTGCCCACACGTTTTCATCTCCTCTTCACATGACCTCCTCCAAGTCACCCTCGCACTGACGACCAACTCGCCACTTCCCTTTCGGGTTCCACTCGAGCAATGGCTTGTCTAGTGATGTCACTTGATGATGGTTTGTTTTCTCAGAGTATGGCCAATCCACCTCCATTTCTACCTCCTATTTGTTTCACAATCGGTTCCTGGTTGGTTCGCTCATTGCCAGAGATCCCTGTTGCTGATCTTTTCTGGCCAGCCATCTGATCTTGAGTAGCATTAAGCGAAGGCAACTGTTACTGAAGGTCTGTAGTTTGTTTGAGATGCTCTTTATGACGCGCAGTGCAAGTCTCTGATCCGTACAGTAAGTAGCACTGACTTCGCATTGGAGTTGAAAATCTGGATCTTATTTTTGATGCTGATTGCTGTTGACCTCCACACAGACTTGAGAGTAGTGAAAGCTTGTCTCGCTCTTCCGATCCTCGCGCTTTGATATCCTCGTCAGTTCCTCCTGTAGTTGAAACGATGCTTCCCAGGTAGGTAGGTAAAGGAGGTTGTTTCTTTCAGGTTTTTCCCATTTATGCTGATCGTTGTCTGTTGTTGTTGTTCTTGTCCAGGAATCTTCATCACCTCTGTTTTCTCTATGTTCACCTGAAGTCCTATCTTCTCTGGATGCTTCTTCTGCCAACTTGTTGCTTTTCGCTTGCATATCTTCCAGTTTGTGGGAAATCAGACATATACCATCGGCGAAGTCCAGATCCTCCAAGTTTTTTGTGTGGGTCCATTTTATGCCTGTCTCCTCACTGCCCGCTGTTTGTCACATGGTAATTCATATATTAAAAACTGAACTCTGCATACAAAAGAAGAAGTTTGTTCAGTCATTAAAAGTACATTGGAGTTGACCTATCTTAACACCACACACGTAATTTTTGTTTCGTCTTTTTCCAGCTTGTTTGTTTCTTAATTGTATAATATGTTCTTTCCCCCCGCCACCCCATATTACCACTGTTGTTAACTTGACTGTTGTTCAGTTTAAATCTTATCTGAGCTCTACTCAACTCCATCAATTAGATTACATCACTCATATTGCTTATTTAATCTTAATTTAGTTTCTAACCCCATTAACGAAATTTGTTTATCTAAAACTTACAATTCTAATAATTTTCACTTTATTTTCTACCCGATTAACACTGTCTCTTTATTACGCAATTTGTTAACTAAAAAATTTACAATTCTAATGACAAATCCTTGAAGTATTCATTCTGTTGCTAAGCAAATTAACTATATGTATGCGAATGTACAGCTTGAGAGTGTGCGTCGGCGGTAGAATGCCTACCAACCATGCATGTGATTCAGGGTTCGATCCCCGGCCGACACACTCCTATGCCTCAACTCGCTAAGCCAGTAACACAACTGGTTAAGAAGGAAGGTTGGGTATGAAGCTACCAACCTCATCCCGTAGAAATAAATACCAATGCTACCGAAACTTCAAGCCTCTAGCTTGAAGCCCTCCCTATGTTTCACTGGGAATGTAAAGGAATAAAAAGATAATTTTAAAAAAAACAGCTTGAGAATAATATCACCGAAAAGAGGAGTAACTCCTCGCTGAACATCTTTTTTTTTGTAAATCAAATTCTCAATTTGCAAGCTGGGATGTATATATATTCGAAACCAGGACAGTGTATTCACGTATGTAGAACATGCTACTTACACTATGTAAGTATAAAAATCAATAACATACGTAAAACAGAATATGTATATGACACTTATCACTACAGGAAGTCAAATTAAAACTCGGCACAAGTATTTTTACTCACCTTTCTCTATTCAATATATCAATAGTGACAAGATCAGCTCTAGTCAGTGTTTGATTAATCAGCGTTTGTTTTAAGCCTAAATGTCCATCTTCTGAAGGAGCAATCAGCAGACGATATGTCGACGGAGGACAACCATTACCAGGTAGAAAATTAGATAGATTAAAGGCAACAGAATACTGTTGACGTAAACTATTCGGTATCAGTTGAGCTGCATTGGCTGTTAATGGAGCTAAAACAAAAAGTGGGAGAATGAAAAAGAATTTAAGAAAATTCACAATTACATGCACAGAAATACAATATTTTATTTAATAATTATAATATTTTTAAAATAATCTGTTTTATGAGTTTGACCACGGGTTGATATCAGTTAAATAACCACTGAAAACCATCCAGGGAGTACTGGAAGATGGCCGTTTCGTCCTAGTGTGGTGACAGCTGTCTACAAGCCAAAATTGTAGGCAACAATTTACGTCAATGTTCACGTACCGAATCGGGGTCATGAGAAAAAAACACAAAAACAAAGCTTTACCTTGAGGAACTCAACAACCAATCATAGCAGACTTAACGTATGCAAATACCATTCGCAGATATATGACCTAACTTTCTAAGTAATGGTCACAAGCATTACAGAATAACCTTCAGCAAGGAAACAACCAATCAAAATAGGTTGCTTCTCCACTAATAATAATGTACATAAAAATCTATAAATATCTCTTGATTTTCTTAATAATCGATCTGTTGCTTGGCCGTTGTCTTCTGTTGTTACACTAGTTCAGGAA